AGGAGTTTGGAACCAGAGGATCTTTGATGTCCCTCCCAACCCAAACCATTCTGTGATTATATATATATATATATATTCTCTCTTATTATACCCCAAGCTAAAGGACTAGAAGGGGAAGGAGACCTCTGTAAGCACCCTGGCTGGCAGCTCTGCCTCTCTTAGGTGGAGAGGGAGAGTATGTTGGGGCCAGCTGGGGATTTGGGGTCCGGCATGGTGCCCCAAGCCCTCACCTTCCGAGTTTTGCCGTGACGCCGCTCCCTTGATGCGGAAAGCTTGCCGGGCTCGGCTGCGGTCTCCGAAGCTCCAGCTCTTGGGCACTTTGCTTGGGCTGTCCTCGATGCTCTGGTCAGCGCTGGGGGACCTCCGGATGCCCTGAGCCTGTGGAGAGCCTTTCCCTTTGGTGCCAGCACCGCGGGGACTGGAGAAGACACGATCTTTCAAACTGACCTTCTGACTGTCCAGAGAAACACGTTGAAACAAAGACAAAAAGGAAACAGCAGGAGGAGTCATTCTGGAAACCACGCAGTCCTTCCCCACCAGCCATTAGAAACCAAGAGCACTTCCAAGCAGCAGTGAGATGTAGTTTTGCTGTTGGTTTTATTATTTTTTAAGTATATTATTTTTCTTTTCTTTTTTTTTTTCTTTTTAATTTAAGAAAGCATTGTAGAAATGTTTCCGCTGTAATGAGTGAAATGGGAATGATTGTTAAGAGAGAGAAAATAATGAGGACTTAAACAGAAGCCCCTCGTGGGATGCCAGGGCTGGCGGGACAGAATGACGTTAAACAATGAGGTTATGATTCCTTAAATCACTGATCGGCTCCGATCACGAGTGAGGAAGCTTTTCTTTCACAACTGCCTTCCAAAACCCTGTATCTGATAAGAAAATACCAATAAAAAGGCACCCTTATCTTAAACTTTTAACTTTCTTGGAAACACTTCACTTCTGGTGCTCAGACCTGTCCTTTCCCTTTCTTCAGCTCCAGTATTCTTAAAGCATGATCTGTCCCTTTTATATATTCCAAAGAGTTCCTCGTTTTCCAGTCATACATTTCAATACTTGAATACGAACACTTACATGTGCAAGTCCTTTGTATCCTATAAAAATTCAACCTAAAAGCTAGCTAACATCTATCTGCAGGTCTGCTACGGGTGTCCAAAACATGCAAAGCAAAAGGTCACAACTCCAGAATATGGCATTTCATTGTTGTTTTTCTATTAGAACCCCTTTTCTTTAAAACCTTGTAATTACGGTTTGAAAAGATCTCTCCAGAAACAGAGATGATGTCACTGAGAAATAGTCTGCTGACCACCCAGCTCTAATTATTTTCCAAATTCTGAAATTTGTAATTAAAAACTTTCACCCAAATGAAGATGATGAATTTTCACAGGAAAATTGCAAACCAAAAAGATTTTGTGACTAGAAAAGGCAAACTTTATAGAGACAGTGTTGGGGAAACCAAATTGCGAACAGTTTTGGGTAATTAGATATCTTCTGAATAGCAATTGATTATGAAAACAGACTAACAGACGTTAGATAATCAGTGCAAGGCACTGCACATATAGAAAATATTTTATATATCGGTAAATCAAAACTGAGTAAACCCACAGAATTAACTCCCAATATCCTGTACCACTGCAGTAGCCACTTATCATTTTGCTGCAAATGCTCTGACTCAATCTGTGGGAGGAACAGTGCAGGAATTTTGATTTCCACATCAGATTTCCAGGTCACCAACCAAAGACCTGTTTGGGTTTTATTTTTTTTCTGTCTCTCAGCAACGACACCTTAAAACTCAGAGCCAAACAGTCCTCCTTTGCCTTCCAAACTGTCACGAGGTCCTTCAATCAGAACTTAGCTGCTGATGTTTGAAGCAGAGCAAAATGCAGCTCCCTCTCCCCCAGCTGCACCGTGCTGACGGGAACAGACATTCGTTTTTGTCAGGAAAGGCAGAAGACGTGACTCGAAGACACACAGGGAGCAGATTTGTTGAGTAAGAAGGGGCTATTTTTACAAAGTCACTTTCCACTGCGAGATGTTGCACATTTACAGGGAGAGAAAGGTGCTTAGGCAGCATTTTCGGCATTGCACAGTGTGATGCCATTTAGGTACGGCTGCCCTGATGGGGAGAGCAGCTCCGGGGCCACAGAGCAGGGCCAGCCGTGGCCATCGCCTGGGCAACAATTTCGAGTGGAGAGATACACTTGAGAGAAAACAGGATTTGTTCATCATCAAGTTAGAAAAGGCAGAATTAGTCCAACTAATGATGCGTTTTTAATTCAGTGAAACTGCATAGGAGGTACCGGAGGTTTCATTTCCAGTGTGCTGCCCACCTGCAGAGCCTGTCTGAAAGCCATGGGACCAACAGATGTTTAGTGTAGCTGAAAATCAGATCAAAGGTACAAATCCACACAGGAATCTAGGAAAAAGCATCTGCCTAAATACCTTTCTGGATGTCAGCCTTAGTCACGCTAATGCTACCAAAATCATTGTACATAATGAGCCAAATGTCTAAAAGCAATTCTTTCTGTGTTTCTTGTATAGACGCCATAGCGAAATTTTGTTGTTTGATCATAAATGGGCCAACTGGATTTTTATTTTTCTTTATTTTAGTTGATTTTACAGAATAATATTCCTGGAATCTACTGCCTTTCAGTAGTACTAATACTTTGAACTAGCTGGTCTTTTTTACAAATAAATTTTATAAAAATGAATCAGCAAGACGCCAATATTCGGAATTCAAAGCAATCTCTTTGTGCCTCATCTCTGCAAAGGTGCTCCCATCACCGATCTCAGCGTAAAACCGGCTGCCTATCACTGAGTAAAGCAGGGCCTTTTCTTTGGGGCCCCTTTTCCCACCATAAATGTGCTGCAAATGTTTGCAAGAATCACGAAAGGCAAAGAAGAAAGCATTGAACTTGGTGAGGAACATGAGCAAAGAGTTTCAAGCCTGATAGCATGAGATGCAACACTTTTACACAGTAAAAGATCTCAGACACATCTGATGAACAATTAAGATCTGGGTGGGTTTTGCTCCTAAGTACTCACTACTCAGAAAAAAACCCAACACCTGACTAACTTCCTCGTTTTAACATAGACGACATGAGACAACGTGAACAATTAATTGAATTTTTCCTTCTGCCATGCAATTCTCTTATTGGAAATGACACCCGGAATTACATGCAAGTACAATCCCTGCAGAGGCGAATGCTGTTGGGGTCTGCAGGAGCTGGTAGGAAAGAGTTCAAAAGAAATACAGGCATATATAGAGCTATATGTTGTCAGCTAATCCAAGATCATGTTCTCATTCAACCAGAAAGTCATGCCGAGTGACGCAGCGTGTCTCGGAGAAGTGGTATTTAATGGTAAACGAGCCTCAGTTCAGTGGGAAATGCATGTGCTGGTGACATGAACATGGGGAAATCCACAATCCAGCCACAGATGACAACGTGAACTTGAAGCTTGCGATCGCCAAGAGCAGCACGAGCACGGGGCCAGCGCCCTGCTTGTGCCGGAGGGAACGGAGGGAAAGAAAACTCTGGCTTTGTAACCAGAGACACAGAGAAGCTGTAAGAGGGGAACAGGGCGTGCTTTAGTTCCTAGGTCTTCACAACCACTTTCGGTTGGCATCTATTAAAAACATATTCGATAATAAAAAAATTAAAATGTTTCCAGGCTGACTTTGGGGAAGGTTTACAAAACTTGCCGATTTTGACTCGAACTTAACAAAGGATAGAAACTAAGTTGACTTCTTCTCTGCTGCCAGTCAAAAAAAAGAGAGCCCATTCTGCACAAACATGTAAGGATCGATCCATGGTCCTTAGATGCTTGCTGTTTTAGTGGGCTATGCATTTACGTTCATTTAGGTCCAACAGCTCAGCAAAACGCATGAGAACTAACTGTCAAATGAGCTGTCATCAGCCTCCTTAGGATTCAGGGGGTTTTGAGCTCCCATTCGAAACCCTCTGGTTTGGGCTTCACTCCACAGCCCTCATCACTTATTAAAAAATGTGGACTTTTTTAAGACGTGACCTTATTACTAAGTATTAAATCATCACTTTTAAAAAATGTGGACTCACTACATTAGCAGTAATTTTTGATCCAATAAAAAGTATCACCTGTAACTTCATCACTGATTTTAAACTACGCTTGAACAATTGTTTCATTTTCTCCCTTCATTACGTAGGCAGAAAACGTTATCCAGGCTGAGCTAGACGAACATGGCCTCAGATCCATCTCTGCATACAAATTCGACGACTGACAGTGTTCATTCATCTGAAAGTCTATGGCCAGGAGAAGGAGGCTATCTCCTGCTAGGAAATGAGGCTGGTTTTCAATCCAGAGTTTGTGCTGAACGCATGGCATACAAGAACATCTTGTTAAAACCAGGCAGGAGTGAATGATAGCCTTTGTGGCTGTCACCAGGCTCCAGTCTGGCTGCAGGTGTGAATAAGAGGCAGAAAACAATTACTGGAGACGTGAAGGAAAGGAAAATATATCTGTGAGTGCAACACTTGCCATGACTAAAGCAGAAACCAAGAGAGGACCAGGCTCAACGTCTGGTTTGCCTCCAATGATTTCAGAAAAGCCATGGCAAAGGTGAATTCAGCCCAGAAAATGGAGTTTCTGGAAGCAGAGGATCCTGGACATAAGGAAAACAAAAAGTCAGCCCATGGTGAGTAATCCCTCTTCTCTTCCTTGTCCACAACCATGGTGTTAGACTTGGGTTGGAGGGAGTCACTAACATCGTAACGGGAAAGACCAGAGTTGTACCATCCCCGCAGCCACCGCGTAAACCTGGAGGAGCACAGGGCCTCGGGTGAGTGAAGTGACACTGGAGCCAGACACCTCTTTAACCTTGGCCTTGGGTATTTTGCTGCACTGCTGTTATACCATCACCTCTCTCTTCCTAACACACAGCGGCTTTCCCCCAACCGGATGTTGAGCGCTGTCAAACACCACATCACACATATCCTGCATCTTCTAGCAACCTCCTGCTACCTGCCAGCCCAGATGTTTTGCATTCCAGGAGCAAAGCAAAGCAGCCAGATTGCATCTTTGAGCTGGCGGATTATTCCTAAACAAGACTCTAAGAAAGATGCTACACCCAGACCCGCAGGCCAGTCAAGGGCTCTGCAAGCCCCTTCCTTCTCTAGTCTGCCATTTCTTCCCACTGCCAGGCCTCTGTGGTGCCTTCATCTCTCCGAGTAGATACCAGGAAAGTCTCTTACAAAGCAGATAATAATCTGGCTTGGTATAGTTACATTAGGGTCTAAAAATGCGTGCATTATTGCATTTATTGACTAGAGATCATTGGTTTAGTACATTAAGAAACTACATCTTCCTAAGGAGTTTTCTATTAATTTACCTACATTGAGTTTTTCGTGATTGCCTCATCGTTTACTGTTATTTCGATATATGCATCCTAGATGCAGGCTTTTAGCACTCAGCCTTAGATGCATCAAAGTGCTGCCATCTGCCCCTAAGAGTTTATGCAGTGGGGGATTGTAGGCAAGTAGCCCAAGGGCCCAGGAAAACAAGACATCTAAATTATTTTTATGTCCCTTCAAGGTTAACCTATAGTTTTACTGAAGCACAGTGTGTAAAACACTACATTCAGGATGGATGCAGGTTAACAAAGATGCTCTTTCAGCTACTCTGAAGTTCAAGACTCATTTCTGACTGGAAGAAGCAGAGTCTGTAATGCTCCTTCTCAGGGTCTCCAATGGATCAAGAAGATCTTGAGACAATAATTTGTTTCATCCTCCCTTTCCCTTGCAGAACTCAAGATGGGGGAGGATGAAAGGAGGACCACAGTGGGAAGGAATTCAGTAGAAAACAGAAAAAATTACACTGGCCTTACCAATTAAAAATTAATGTCTAGAAAAACATGCAAGGATGACATTAAGATCAGAGTGGCTGATTTTCCAGGAAACAGAACTGGACATGGACAGATGAGAGGACAGCACTATGAATATCAATGCTTGTTTTAATCTCTGCAAAAAACAACCTCAACGTTGAGCAACTGAAAGGCGCCTGTCTCTTGGGACCAGTCCCTGTGCACTATGCCTCTGCTTCCAAGGACAAAACAACCTCACCCGGCAAACAGAAACACTACGGGTCACAATAATTTCTTTTAGCCGGACTATTGACCAAATCTTTTCCATTTGGAAATGTTTTGAAATGCTGTCTGTGCAACTGATGTTCACCCAATATTTAAACCAGTCCTTTCAAGGATAAACTTCAAGGAAGGCCACAGCACCATCAGAACACGCAGCTGGAGGCTAACTCAAAGATTCAGGCTATTTATCCGGGTACAGGGGTTTCCTACCATGGAGAACCGCTTATTATGAAACCTAGATCATGCCCCCTTCCTCTTCGTTACCCATTCAGAGATGGGATTTACCGCACTAGTGCTGAGCTTCTGGTACACGCAAGTCTCAGGCATGAGTCTTAGTCTCTAGTCTGACAGATAATAAAAATAGCCAGCAGGGAAAAAAATAGCAAGAAAAGAAAAGATACAAGTTGGAACAATTAATGGAGGAAACCAGAGATACATGTATTTTTTTAAATGTATTTTTATACTTTGAAAACTGCAGTTTGTTGGCTTTCTGAGGGAGACAGAGACTGGTGATTTTGAGAATTAAAACGGACTCCAAAAAAGAGCATGCAAAAATCCGATTTCACAAACATGCGGCATCACTCAGTGCCCTGCGACTCCGGGGTTTTCCACCTGCCTGGCTGCGGGGGGACAGGGAAGAGCTGATGGGGGTCACCTGCCAGCATGCACAGCATGCAGACTCTGGGCTTGGCACTTCAAGAAGGTGCATGTTTGCTGCTGAGAAGCAGTGTCTGGGGTCGGGGAAGAGGCTCTTCCAGTGCAGGCGTGGAAGTAGAGACATTTAGACATAAGTAAAATAAGATGGATGGATCTGTGTACCCTTATGGCCATCGGATGGATGCGCTAAGGGATGCTCATTGGGAATTCTCTGAAGCCGCCTAACAACCGTCAGCTTGATGAAAAAGATGAAAACACTGCTCGTACAAAACCCTCTACTCTCGCTATCTGTTCCCCACGGGATCTAGAAACAGAACCATTCACAACGCCAATGTCAACGCTAAGGGGAACCCATATCCCCTCCGTCTGGTGGGACAGGCTGAGATTAGTCCTTCTCTAGCTGCGTAGTAGAGGTGCTAGATAGGCAAGCCATGGCTTCCAAAGGCCACAAGACTAGGAAAGGTCAATTTGTAGTGTTCAGAGAGCCAAAGGAACGGTGATTGAGCAGAGGTAGGAAGCTAGTATTTGTCATGCTACTAAGCTGATACTGATGTACAATGAAATTGAATTTGCAAGGGAAGGATTCCCTGGACCTTGAGGGGGGGTGGAGCAATAGGATGGAAGGGATCTTTTCTAAATAAGAATTAAAATTTTTAATTTTTCTTTTTTAATTTTCCATCTTTTGTTAAACTTCAGTTCCTGGCCTCCTTCATTGCTGAGTGCTGGCTTGCTAGCCCAGACCAAATTCCCCATCCTTGTCTCTGATCCACATGTTCTGCATGATTAGCAGACAAGGAAGCCTCTAATTTCTGAGCAGGCAGTGGGGAGGCTCTTTCACCTTTTTTTACTCATCTAGTACCTCTATTAAGCAGAGAAGTGATCAGAACAGGTGGTAGCAGGGTAGAGGGAGAATGAGCCGTGCAGCTTTTGATTAGTTCCGTGCGACGCATTTCCCGTGGTACCTAGAGTTTCCTGAGCAGCATCCGCATAGTGACTCTCTGCACGGTTTGCTTTTACTGGAAATGAGGGGAGAGTAAAAATTAGACCTGGAAGCAAATGCCAGACAGGAAACTTTTGATTACTGACTCTAGGTTTAAAAGACAGGTGTTTTGAGGGCCGGGTTCATGACAGGATTTTTCTGTTTGAGGGTTAAATGGAAAAAAAACCCAAAAAATAGCAAGGCCAATATTGACTGTGGTCAATAAATGTCATCCTTAGAAATGATGCATTCTGCATTGAATTGGTGGCGTCAGTTCATCTACAACTGACTGAATCCTGCAGGAAGATTTTTTTTCCTTTGCCTAGGAAACAGTAAGTACTCTCTTCTTCATCTAAACAGATAAAAAAAGACATTTTTTTAAATTGTCTAAGCCATGAAGAGCCAAAAATTTAACTTGTTTTGTCCAGCAACATCCAGAAGATTCAAATTTCTTCTTTTTAAAAAAAAAAATCACAAATAGAGCTAGTTAATCTGTGAATTATTTGCACTTCTCATGCAGAAAATACATTATATTAGGCCTGGCATTACAAAAAAAGACAAAACCAGAGTGTGGTGCAGTCCCTTATGGGAAGGGATTTGAGTATCTGTGTTCATGCATCTGTTTTTCGTAACACATTTTAGATGGGCCCCTACCACTTGTAGGGAGTCACTGGCTTTGCAGAGGCACCACCATTGCTCCCATGAGCCCATCCCAAATCGCTGCTCAGGCACTGCCCTGCCAGGAATTCGCCACCACGACCAGGGTCCTCCACGCCATGGAGCAGCCCTCCACCTGCGGAAGGGTAATGACGTGGCCCCCGTCACCCCACCTGGCCACCAGCAGGCATCACTTGCTGAGTTCATGGACAGGCTGAAAAGGCTGAAGGGCATAAAACCCCAACTCATTTTACACTTGAACTCAGCAAACGGAGGAGCTCGTGGGCACGCACAGAAGGAATCTGCAGGAATTCCTTCTGCGTCGCAGCATCCCGTGCAAGCTCAGCCAACACCACCCTCTGCACCCTGGGGACTCCGCAGGAGCCCGGCAGTGGGACCCCACATCCCCGGGGAGCCTTGGGGACTGGTGGTGCTACCAGGGCTGTTCTGGAGCTGGGGCCTGAGCATTGTGGTGTGGGAGTGGGATATTCAGCATGCAGAGCCTCAGGGAGACATGTGGGTTACTCTCCTTAGATCCCTCTGCAGTCCCTATGGAGAGATGCAGTCTCTTCTGTGCAAATAATCCGCTCCCCTAAAGGCAACCGATTATTTCCAGATTACTGTCAGTCCCAGCATGAGTCTCTGACACCACTTTAATTGGTTAGAAGGTCAAATGCCAACCCAGGCTATCATGGCCCATCGGGATCCTGTGATTGACACCAGTTTCCACGGGCAGGAGTGGTTAGTGACACCTCAGACACCCTAAGCTGGATGAGCAGGGGCCCACTGAGTCAACCAAAGGCATCCTCCAGTGCGTACAAATGCCTTAATCACACCCCTGAACGGAGAGATTAATGTTGTGTGTATCTCAGACAGACATATACATACACTGATATATAGATAGATATACGCACAGATATACATACACGTTACAAGGTGGCCCAGTCCAGCATTCACTCAGTGTAATGGCCAAGGTCTTGCCGAGTTCATCAGGGTCAAGGACAAACCACAGCCGAGAACAACCTTCCAACGAGGTTCCTCTCATTACCTATGGGACTGAACTCATGCTGGACAAAGTAATCTGAGTTTTAGCTTCCCAGTTCCCTGGAATCCTTCTGTTTCTTTTTCTCTGATATTAATGTATTATGATGATGATTTGATTAATTTTTAGCTTTTCACCCAATCATATTTTGGAAAATACAAGAGGAAGAAATGTGATCACGGCTGCCTTCAGATGTTTATCAAACCATCTGTTAAAGAGCATCTGAAGCACACATTTCAATACAGGAGCCTCTGTAGCCCTGGCTAACCATATGTTTGTCTCTTTGACATTACAATCAGAAGACAAAATAAACAGAAATGAGATGCCGCAGCAGGTTTCCAGCCTGATTAACACAGGAGTAATCAAACCCCATAACCGCTTGGATTTGCTGGCTTCCTGCAGCAAGAGGGGTGAGAAAAGCCCTACCACAGCGAAACCCTCCTTCCCTGGTGTTACGAGGCAGAGAGGACTCATGTTTGGACCGTGCACGAGAGCAGCGTGGTCTCGGAGGCGTGATCCGTGCTAACTGCTCCTGCAGCAGCAGCCAGCCCAGGGAAGGGCAGGTGGCCACCTCTCCTGGCCAAGGCAGATGGTGGGGTGGACACAGCGCCCAAAGCGATGGGCAACGCAGGAGGCTCTGTAAGCGGTTTTTAAATAGGCAGGAAAGTAAAAAAGGGGAAAGAGGTACGCAGCATGGAGAAAAAGGCCAGCATCTTTTCTGCTCATCACAGCCTGGGCTCCACGTCCCAGGGAGGTGAGCTCGTCCCCCCCGACAGGTCAGCAGACAGCTTCCCGGCACTCGGTCATAGAGGGATGCAGACAAGCTCACGGTGAAAAACAAAACCAGAAGCAACAGAGAAAGGACATAACCTGTCTCTCAGATCAGCTGTCCCATTTTACACCAAGATCAAAACAAAAGCCACCTAAGTAATTCCAGGTGACCCCGAGCCACCACCACGCTAACCCCATCACCTCCCCACATCCTCCCACCCTGGGCAGCAGCTCTCCCAGTGCCATCTCGGCAGAAGGCAGCACCGGACTCAGAGGGCAGCATCACTGCTGGGTGATGGGCAAGACCCCAGCAGCTGCCTGTGGGACATTCGGGATGCTCCCTGACCTCGCAAGGCAATGTTTGTCCCGCACAGAGCGTTCCCATGAGCTGTGCCAGCATCCTTCTCTAACTCAGAATATATTAGGATGTGAAATACTGAAAAAGTTGTTTGTTTTGTTTGCTGCAAGGACTTTGTGGTGTCTCAGTTATGGAAAGAAGGATATAGGAAATCAGCCACTCCCTCCACAAAGTACAACGGGAGGAAGATCCAGCAATCTCCAGATAAGAGACTGTGTTTCCTTACATCAATGGAAATGGAAAGGGGTAAAACCTTTATCAGCTGAAGCAATAAAAATGTGGTGCTGGGGGGTCTGCTACAGGAGAAGATTCATCCCGAGGAGTTTCCTAAGTGAAATAGTCATCAGTGACAGACCACGGCTAGATGATTAACTGCCGGGTGGGCTGAGAAGCAGGACGAGTTTTCTTTTCTAAGGGCAGGATGACACACTGAGCATCACTGGGAGGCTGTTGCAAATCAAAGTGGGTGGGGGATTTGGGATGTGAATGTAAAAGATCCAGAAACTTTTATTTGGGAAAACAGCTGATTCAGGGGTCCCTGAAAACAGGGACCACTGTCAGAAATTCCTTCCAGAGGTCTGAGACATTATAAGACCAAAAGGGGCAGTGGGAGCAGGTAGAATTGATTTTGCCCTAACAAAATACAGAAGGAAAGAGCTTTGGTTCTCCTATGGCAGCTGAACTGAACAGCATGGAACGGACTTCAGTGTCATACTCATGGCAGCTGCAGACCCTCAGCCTAAGCTCTCCTGGGTTCAGGTTTAGCATCTTACAACAGAGGGGCAACAAAACCCATCCGTGTCACAGGAGACAGGTAACACTGCAGAAGCAGGAAAAGAGTATTTGGAAATGACCCTGATGATGGAGCTGTATATGGCAAAAAAGGGCATTGAAAGGATATATTTACTTCTTTCTGTGATGTGACATTAAGAAAGCAATGAAACAGGGAAAAAGATGCAACATCTACAAAAAACCAGATCCAACCTAGTGTTTTAACTGGTGAAAATTAACCCTGAAGACAAGACTGAGATTCAAAAAGAAGAAATAAGACTACTGCCTCGGAAATAAGACGAAGAAGCTGCAATTGCAGGGATGCTGGCTGGTGTGACCCTATGAGGAACCATCAGTCCTAAGATTTCCTTGGCTATGGAGCTGATCGGGTTGAACAGAGATTCCATCTCACTGCACAGCCCTGTGCCTGTGAGAAATGTGGATTTACCCGTTGATGCATCCGAAGTATGTCACTGGCTGAGACATGGCAGCGGAGCAGCCAGGCTCCTGGGATGACATGTTGACCCTCCTGATGCCACGGGCACGTGGCCAAAATTTCAGCCTTGGTCTGCTCCCAGTGAGCACTTCCCACGCTGTGCTCCCTGCTTCAATAATGCCGGATGGATGCTGCCTTTCACTCTGGCTACACAGGCTGAGACCCTGAGCAGGAAAAACTGTAATTGTGGATAGTTGAAACATGATCTTGGTGATTTATTTGGCAGGGAAGTGGATGGAGCGCTACAGAGGTTCTGCTTGCAAAGAAAAGCTCAAATGAAAGACAGAAACCAGAGTGGGGGAAAAAAAGGAAGGAAGAACGAAATTTCCCTCACTTTAGTCAGCACCATATCTACCCAGATATCTTTGGTTGGATTTTATGGCAGGGAAAAATTAGTTTCTGGCCTCTCATAAGCTAAAAGGCACAGAAGAAAGTTACATCTCCAAAAGTCCAGGCTCTAGTTTGACTTCTGAAAAACTTATTCAGTGTGTACAGTATTTAGGCTGTAAGCTATGTTTTGAGATATGAGATGGAAGATCTGAAAGCCAAGCAGATAATCTCCACATAGCATCAGTTCTGCACCTTGCCTCCCAAGAAAAAAACAAAGAGATTCAGTCTCAGAACTACTTCTTAAAAGAACTGGGAAAATATAGGAATAAAATAAAATCCCAGAACTAAATACTTACAAGGGGATGAAAAGTATCCTGAAAGTATCCCAAATACCAGCCCTGTTGCTTTCCCTGGGACTTGTGAATAGAGAAAAGCTCTCCCCTAGGTGAGGTTTATGGCTGGCCTGGAAGGTGCTCACCACGTCTCAGAGGGCGCCCGGCAGAGCACACTCTGCTCAGTGGACTCGAGGCATGGAGGGAAGACGAAGCAGGGACTGGGCTTCATCCAGAGGTTGTGGGGCCAAAGGGAATGGGGTGGAGAAAGGGTGTCTCTGCCATGCAACGTCGTGCCATGTCAGAGAGCCCTCCTGTGTCCCACGGAGCAGTAGGTCCACGCAGCCCCGTGCAGTGCCCTGCAGCAAGAGCAGCTCAGGAGAAGTTGCTAACTTGGTGACACGGTGATGGCTTCATGTTCCCATGTCACCTCCGCCTGGCATGACCTTAGGGCATGGAGACATAGGCAAAGCATCACCTACCCATCGGCGCTCACTGGGCCTGTTTTATACCGTTTCAGCTACGGCTCCAGCAACAAAAGAGAAAAAAAGCAGCATAAACCAAAGCGCTGCCGTCATCCCGGAAAAGTGTCTGCCAGCTCTGCCCGTGCTGCCTGCCGCTCTCTCTAGCCCCCACAGCCTCACTACCCTCGCAGCTACAGCCCGAGGCAGACTGGAAGGAAGGTATGATTTAAGGTCCAGCATACACGTAGATACATTGGACTGCCACAGCACAGAAAAAGCACGTTAATACCTAGAACGCTTCCCTCGATGGTGCCACGACATGGTACACACACGCACACACGTACATAGAAATCTACGGGTAATGCATGGAAATGGCGTGTTGGCAGTGATACAGACCTTGGCGATGGTTCGGGCTGCTGCTCTTTCCTTTAAACAGAAGCAATAGTACATTAGCATGGTGTCAGGTGGCAAAAGATGTTGCTGCTTCACTGTTAAAACATAACGAAAGGACAATACCAAACAATACAACTAAGTGGAAGTTGTGGACAGAAGAGAGGGAAAGGAGCACTTAATTCCTGGAGTTTCTGGCCCGGACAGAAGATCACTGGAGACTCACACAACCTCAGAGAAGACACATACAACGCACAGGGTTGAAGAGTTCGTCCCAACCCATCCTTGTGCCTACGCATGACTGAGACACCTGACAGTCGTGTGATTTGTGTGAGCACAGGAGGACTTCTGTGGGCTCAGAGAGCGGCCCCCTTCCTTTGGGAATGCACCTCCCTGAGTTGTTTCTGCACATAGGGAGGGATTTGAATGGCTCCTGTGACCCTGGTGTATTTGATTTTCCTTCCTGGCCATTTTGCGCAGTGCTAACATCAGATCTCTTGATGCGTGGCTTCACGCTGCAGTGCTAATGCATGGTGCTGGGGGGACATTGGTGGGAAGGACTACAGACCCCTGCTCGGACACCCCGACACCCTGGGGGGCTTCTGCCTCCAAAGCCTTTGGCAGCTACTTTGCCAAAGTAGTTGGCAGAGGCTGTATGCAGGGAGTGGGGAGCTACGATTTTTGTATGCTGTTTCCTGCTCAGATCCCAAGCCACTTGATTGCCCTAAAAAATCGTTGACATTGAGGAAAAAGTGAGCTGAACAACTGCAAAAGGGTGGGCATTACTCTGCAAGCCAAGATAAAGCCGCACAGAAAAATAAATCAATGTCACCTTCACTGACCAGGCATCTCGGTGGCATTTCCCTCCATCAGGGAGGAAAACCTGCTTTGCCTTCAACTACTCTGATTCACAGCTTCTTCACACTGGAAACTGCATTTAATGTGGGGCCCCAAAGAGCCTTGCGCCTGCAGTCCCACGAGAGAAGGAGCAGACTGTGTTTCTCAGCAGATAAGGGTCTGCCTTTCCCAACACCCGTCTAAGGGACCAACTGGACTGCGAGAAGACCTGGGCAGGAGCAGCTCGATTCCCTCGGAGCGTGATGCTGTACCAGCCCTGGTCCTGCCTCCACCCAGCAGTAACAACTGAGATCTGCACAGACCCTGACCCCTCTCCCTTAGGCTGAAGGCAGCAGCCTGCAGAGACTTAAAAAAAATACCCCTCACCCTCTGCTCCCTGCTGAGACAAGCGTGGAAGCCCAGCCTCAGCCACTAGCTCAAATACTCACATTTTAATGTTTGCAGTCTGACCCATGGGTCTACAAATCTCTACTCTCTGGAGAGACACACAGCCCAGGGCAGGTCCCGTCACACACCTCCCCAGCTAGCCCCACTGCCCATCAGCACGGCCAGCATCCCTCCATCCCTCCCAGGGTCTGCACACTTCCCATTCACCAAATGGGATAACCTCACCTGCTTAAAAAAAAAGCAAGAATTACTCCTGCTGAGGACATGTTTAAGCTGCAGGACTCCTGGCTTTCTGGGGCAATCAAGTGTAACTTGTCACAGCAAAAATCACAAAACTTTCTCACCACCATGACCTGGCCTGCGCTCAGGGAAGGCTGGAGGGAATGGGGAATTAATTAACACATTGTGGGCCTGAGTCTCCTCTGAGGGTGGTGAAGAAAGGTCAGAGGTAAACTGGGAACACAAACTTGGTCAGATGCTTTGAAAACACAGCTGCATTTCAACCAAGCATTGTAACGTTACTCCAGAGCCAAGTTAGGCTGAAGAAATTCATGTACAGTATGGGAGAAGGATGGGGAGGAGGTTGCTGAACAACCCATGGGGGACCAGCTGCCAAAACCTCTCACATCTTCAGGGCTGTCCATATGCAAAAGGCAGGAAGGAAAAAAAGAAAAAAAGAAAAAAACAGCCCCAAAACAACAGAAAAAGGTTGCAAAGTGTGTGCCTCCCAAGCTCTCTTAACTCTGCTGCTAACCTGAATGTCAGTCCTGACTTGCTCTTCAGGTTCCTCAGGAGCTCGAGCTGGTTCAGAGGAGGGATGAGTCTAGAGGGAGGAAATAAAGACCATTAATACTCAGGCAGAGCTGATTTAAGAGCCTCCTGTCCTGGCAACTTCACCCGCTGCCCCATCCTTTCAACTAGAAGCAGCTCTGTGCCCCCAGCCGCAACTGGGGGACAGCTCGGGAAGGACGGAGAGGGGCTTGGCTGCTACTTCCAACAGTGTCCTAAGGTAGAGCAGTGGGGGAAGAGGGAGTGACAGCGAGAGAGAGAGAGAGAAACTTGTCTGCACCACCGGATTTTGAACCTCCCAAAACCAAGCAGGTGCCAGGGATTCTGAGCAGCACAGGTCCTGCAGTTTAGCGGCTGCTTTGTTTGGAGACCAGCGCTTTGGCTGTGTGCTAAATGCAGAGAAGCTCCAGTTTCAGAAGAAAATGGGAAAAACTCAATGCTGCTGCCCTTGGGAATGTTGGGGAGGCACGGCAGGGAGCAGCTTACGGGGCAAAGAAAACATGGACCTAAGGTCAGGAGCATCCCAGGAGAAACAGCAGTGCACTCTGGGGTCAAGTTTAGCCACTTCCCTAGTGTCTGTGTTAGGTTTTGCCCCAAAATGAGGCAAAATCATGTATCATTGCCTCTGGATCAGGAAGGAACCATAGGTTTCCTCTCTTTCTCAGGAAGAAAAATAACCTGACATTTGGAATCCTGGTTAGTAATTTAAAAAAAACACTGAACAAACACCCTTTTCCCTACCCTGCTTTTGTGCTAAAAGCCACTGAATTAGTTCCCGCATCCACTTTTCCTTTTTTCCCCTCAGACCCTGGGAGACTGAGGTTTGCTCCATAAATATTTAATGCTGATATTCACAGTCAGGTTTTCAATCAGAGAGATGTGAGCTGGAGGTGCTGGGGGAAGGACGGAGAACACTGCGCACTGTTGGGAAGAGCAGCGTCTACTTAAGAGCGCCCTTGGGGACTCTGCCCTGGGGGTCAGGGTCAACGGGGCTCATCCCATGGCTTGCTGCAAAATCCTTTCTGGGCCACCAGCTTGCCCTTGTCAAACTGTCCAAGTGCCACATGCCACCACTGTGCCCAGAGGGTGCGAAGTCAGCACAGCTGCCGTCCCCAGCCACGCTCGTGAGAAGCGAGCGGCAGGATGCATCGTAACGGGCAGGACAGGTGGTTGGGGCCATAGGCCAAAGAGCCACAACCCCAAGGCAGCGTATACTTCTGGATTTCCTGCAAAAGTATTAAAAAGTTCTTTTTTTAATGGAAGCAAGAAGGACCTACTCAAAACTGTCCCAAAACCACAGCTTAGGCCCAGAAGGAAAGGGGTACAAGTGCTTGCGCTCCCCTAACAGACCAGTCTTGGCTGAGGTTCTGTAAGAAATAGTACTGTCACTGTAAAATACAGATATTTATGTCCGTATTTTTTCAGCCATTATGAGATGAACATTTTCAGTTTTCCTCTAACTGAAAAAAAAAGAAAAATTGGAAAAGCCTCTCTTCTGCATGCACAAAACTCATCCTCAAAACCACAGTTGTTCAAGCAAAGAAGATTTCGTGTTCACAGGACAGAGGCAATCAGAAAATTTTCCAGTCCTAAGTATGGAGAAGAGAATAAAAATAGGCCTGAAAATTTTGGCTTAGCTCCCCAGTCCTGCCTCGTTCGCTTCCATCCAGAGAAGAGCACATCCTGATCTGATGAATTAATGATCCTGTTCACTCCAGATGTCAGGAAGAAGCTGACCCTGGTGCAGTGGAGCTGTACACAAGTGCTGGGCTGTCACGTCCCTTCAAACCCACCGTAGGGTTTGCAGATTCATTCCAAGATGGGAGAAGGCAGTGCATAAAATCAAGCACAAAGCGTTCTTAGCAGTTAATGATGGGTGCAAAGCTCTTTTTTGGTGAGTTAGTTTCTCAGGGAGGTCCATACCCAGCAGAATATAGGACAACAGCTCCACTTTCTCCAGCTGGGATCACAAATCCACTGATGCCAGTCTCAGAGCTGAAAAGCTCATCAGCTCACCAGATTGAAGGATTCAGGATCCCAAAAGGAGCTCCTTCCTTTGCTTTAGCCCGTAACACAAGGTCTGCACCGTGCTGAAGGTGGCAATCGCCTGGGCCACCACAGATGCTGCCATGCAAAGGTAAAGACACGGAGGCAAACCTGTGGTAAGGTGATGGGTACACGTGTGGTGGAAAGAACAACGTTTTACTGCAACAATAATTATTAAGAATGGGTAAACTCAGCCATGGCCTGAAATTTAATCCAGATTGAATGCTCAGCCTAACCTGTCATTACGAGAGCAGCCTGGGGAACAGCTACTGCACTGAACTCTCACCAGAACCAAAAAGAAAAGCCAGAGCTCTGCATGGTGCTTTAACTGAGCTCTGCTGTAAAACACTGGATGGAGGACACCCTGCACTGCTGTGTGTGCCCAGGGAACAGATGACATGGGTGCCACTGTCCTCCAGAGATGTGGAGAAAGGACCCCCCGGCTGGAGCATCTAACGTTTTCTCTCTCTCCTCCTGGTCCGTGTGTCACTTGTTAGCAAGGAAAGCACGTTTCAGTTAAAAGGGAATTAGGTGAGAAGATCTGCACGCCACAGGAACACACACAGCTCATGCCACCCACCACAGCAACGCCTGGGAGTCACCGGCTGCTGCAGGGACCCAGCGGTACCTACAGCTGCTTCCCACCCCCCCTCCCAGCACAGCCCAGAGAAACACCACGCTACCTCCAGGCCATCCAAAGGGAAGGCAAACTTTGCTATTCCTGGCAGCACAGAGAATGTTCAAGCATTTGGGGACAGTGGGGATAACATGCCTCCTCCGACCAGGACATCGTCAAAACCCCACGACACGAGGAGGGCAGCAGCACACAACAGCGGGTGGGAGCATACACGAAGACACCCGCACTCCACGACACGCATACAGAGATGACAATGATTTTTTTTGAACAGGCAGAGTATGAACAACTAGGAAGAGGGTGACAAGGAGATGGATGCTGGAATGGGATGGGGACTTAAATGAGTCTCCATGCTGTGTTAGAATTCCTATGAGGAGCCAGTTATTACCCTAACCATGACTTAATGTCTCCAGCCTATGCTATTTTTCACAACTGAGAACATTCATAAAACTTATAAAATATTTTATTACTGTAAGAAATGGGATGGAAGTGGCATATTCTTATTTCACTCCCAGCAGTGGAAAAAATGCCTGATTCTCAAAGCAGGCTGTTGTTCCTTCAAGACAGGAAGACACACTCATAATATTATACTTGCGATTCATTGATGCAATTTGCTGTAAATTTACCACACGAAGTGGTAAGTGTGATTTATAAAGGCTGTAAAACTTGCATCTGTGAAAACTGAAACCAGGTTTGGAAATTGGGCACTAAATCACATCAGCTCTAACAGCATTAACGCATCTACTGAGGACTTAAATTGCTCTAAAAACACAACCTGGCCCACAGCCTTGAAATACAAGCCACTGATTCCCCATCTTAAAACACTGACTTGACTACGCCTTCACCCACCTCATATAAAATATGCCTGTCACTTAAAAATCTACTCTTTTCTGCAGAACCTGAGATAATATTATTTATAATAAATCTTACTCAGCCATATACAGGTCTTTTCATTTGGATTGATCCCAAAAGGCTGAATCACAGACTGAATAACTAGGGCTAGTAACTGCTTGGTTTTAGGTCAGTCTGGAAAATGGAAACTGAAATGGAAAAGTCCTGCTGAGATGGGGCATTCCTTTCCCAAAAATGAGACTGGGTTACTAGGGAAAATCCTGAATGATCACTTCAGTTTATTATTCCAGACTGAGGACAGTGCCTGGAGGAGAGATCAAACACAGGCACGGGGGCGACTGTAATTTTATTCTGTGCTATCGCTGATGCATCCCATAGAAATTCAGCAACCCTAGTGATACCTGGCAAACACAGCTCCAACAGCATGAAGTGAGATGAACGGTACAGTGAAGGATGGAAAAGAGGGCTGGAGAAAGGGGAACACACAGGAGCAATGGCAGAGGGAAAACGGAAGTACAAACAGGGAAGTTTTCTTGTGAAGGGTGGTATGAATTGGAGGAGGTTGGTAAGACCATCAAGAAATCATCCTTAAAGAAAAGGAAGCTTGTCAAGCGCTCTCCCACTCTCCTTCCTTAAATCGACATTTTGGAAGACAGTTTCCCAACACTTGTGTGTACCAATAGCTAAAATGTACATGGAGGTGCACAGAGTTAGTCTGTGGGCAGCAGGATGGGGAGCCTGGTTTGGGCTTTCACTCATTCCTTTGAAAAAACTGATCTTTAGAGTTTTCTTTTTTTTTTTTTTTTTTAATTAAAGGCTTTGCATGTTACAGTCCCAAACGAAGAACAAGGAGTGACATGACACACAGTTTCAGAGTCACATGCACTTCATACCTGGAGGCACCGTACGTTTGCGTTTGCGTGCTTTTCAAGTGTTTTCACCAAAGAAAACCAAAGGGATAAGAGAAAGAAAAACAGGGGGGAGGGGGGAAGGCAGGGTGGAGGAAAGGGGAAAAGAAACAGAATAAAGAAAATTAGCACATGAACGAAATGTATCCCTGGGAGCAGATGCACTGCGACCAGGCTGACGGGTGAGCACACAGCGTGGGCTGAGCTCGCCCCGCTGCAGCCAGCTCTGAAACCACTGTGTGTCCCTGTCACCCTCGGGGACAGGCAGCTGGCACCTTGCTCCGAAAGCAAACGGGCACCACAGCAGGGAAAATACGGGGGCTCTCCAAGAGACCTTTTGTGAGACACCCACAGCCCTTGGTCCCATTGGCCAGGGACTCTGGGCTGGGCAGTTGACTTGGGCGTGATGCGCTGGTGGCTTTTTTTATTTTTAAGACCAATATATGAACGTAGAACAGATCAAGTCCTGGTTGTCACGAGTAACAATAAAGAGCAGTTTTGGGGTTTTTTTCCAGCAACACCAGCAGCTGACGCGTAACAGGTTATAATGTCTGGGCGCCCCAAGCTATGCATGCATTACAAGCTCAAACCATACCTGCATGCATATTCCAAATCTGCTTCTACAACATTTTGAATTGAGAGATGAAATCTGAGATACTCTCAGAGGCCACCATATTTTCCCCAAATGAGTGAGGCTAGCTCTACTGCCGTGATTTGAGTGATGTTCTGGAGACACATCAGCTCCTCCAAGGCACGGGTAACAATTTTCTCATATCAAGCAGCCCGTCTTTTCAGAGGTGCCTGGGGAAGACAGATAAGCTCAAGTCACAGGGCTCCTGCTATGAGGAATAAGCAGCCCAGTGTGGAGCAGGAAGTGCACCAAGGTAGCAGTGACTGCAGATCACCCCTCCCAGGCACCCGGGAGGGAGACGGGGATCTTGTGTTCCTCCAACCCACTTCCTAACCACGCTGTGCATTTCAGCCGCAGGTCAGTGGTCATCGCCGTGGCCACTGGCTGCGCCCGCGCCCACCAGCCGGCTTAGCGAAGTGGGTAGACGAGGATAGATGGACAGTGTGAGTGATGGAAGCTGCAGCCAGAACATCCAGTAACCCCCTTTTAATATTTTTTTTAACTATTTCCCAATTTATCTGCCTGCAAAATACATTCAAACGAGGTTCTCTATTTTCTTGGTTACAAATCCAGTTTGACTAACAGCCGAATCCATCGGTGCACCCAGGCGATGCCCACTTTGCCTGCGCACACGCAGGAGCTGGGGTTTAAGGATGAAGGTGGGAGAACAGAGAAACCTGTTCCCAGGGTGACACTGCTGCCTGGGGCCGGCTTTGGGAGCAGCACCCATGGCATCATCCAGGAAAACTGCTACAACCCTCTTACAACTTGGTCCTGGCTTTTTATTCAAGGTAGCTGAGCTCAAACTACATTTTTAGCTCTTTCTCCACTCCAAAGTTTTTATTTCACCTGTTCTGGAGCTCTTTAGCTTAGTTTTCTTCCTGCATATTAGCTCCATGGGAAATACTGGTTTTAACAAGCAGATTAAGTAGCAACTAATTACCCTAGTATGTCCTCATGCAAAAGGGTGTCACTGCATGTCTGGCTGCGTGGTTAAGTTCAGTCTTTCAAAGAGCAGGAAAACCTGACAAAGTCCACTGAAATCAGCCCCTGGAATTCTGCGTTTTGCAGTGGACTTTGGACCAGGCTCAGTCCTCACCCTCTCCAGTAGCTGATCTCAGCCAGAACCCTGAACAAATGGCAAGAAGGTCAAACACTGGGAGGGAGAGTTTCAGTGAGTGGGTTCAACGCTATTGGGAAACAGTTTTGTTCCGGTTTGTTGGGTTGGGCTTTTTTTTTTTTTTTTAAGCAAAATCTTGAAGTTGGTTCATAAATCTCTAGGGGAAAAAGCAACCAGACACACTGGGAATGAATTCAATGAAAACTTACTGACCACAACAACATGACTTCCAACAGGCTTTTAAGATGGATTAACAGGCTGGCTGCTGTGTTGCAAATACAAGCTAATTCCTACCCCAGGAAATACATCCAGATTGTCTACCCAAGGGATAAAAGGTACCGGTAATGTGGGAAAACACAAAGGGATTCACACCTGCAGCAGCACAACCCAGGGCTGGACCACAAGGAGCCCCATCAGACCCAGCAAAACCCCGCAAGGCTGCGGGAATATCTGACAAACCCAGAGAGATCTGGCTGGCCCCTAAAAACACACCATAAAGGGACACCTGGCCCTTCAGTGCAGCGTGGAGTGGGAAATGAATGGCACTGGTTTGCATTTTGGCTTCTGAGGAAGCCGCCTCCTCCATGCCACCAACCCCGAGAGTGGCACAGGGGATGAGCACTTCCTCACGTCCCAGAGGACAGCAAGGCATGGCAGGGGGACTCTGTCCCTGTCTCCATGAAGCTCCAAATCCCAAGAGGCTGTGAATTCCTACAGCACTGCTCTAACCTGTGTCATTTCAGCTGAAAGCTGCCTGGGTACGATGACGAGCCACCTCTCCTTAAAGCAAGCCAGATGGATGCTGCTAAAGCACAGTGGTGCTTTATCAGCGTCATCCGTCACGGCTCCACCGTCCTTCCCTAGTTGTGTCCACAGATTGTGATGGATAAATGAAATGCAAGAAAGGAAAACTCTCACTGATTCCTAATTTGTTTTTCCTGCTTTTAGAGGGAAAAAAAGGAAAGGAAAGGGGAGCCAGGGCAAATGCACCTGGGGAGAGTGCTGGGCCAGTCAAGGGAGGGAAGAAGTTTGCTAAAAGGCAAAAGGACTGTTAAAAACCAGCTGGAACAGCAAGGAGAGCCCAGGCAAGGGCACAGGGAGGGTGGCATTTACCTATGATCCAGGGCAGCTCGGAGGGAGGTCTTCACACCTGGGCACGGCAACTGTCACAACACAATGCAACTACCAGCGGACGTGGAGAAATAAAGGTGAAAAGAAGAGCACGTACACACGCAGACACAAAAAGAAATAAAAAAACAACAAAAAATGGAAATTAAAATCAAGTCAAAAAGAAATAAAAAAACCAACCCAAACAAAAGCCAAAGAACTCCAAAAGAAAAAAGCATGTCAGCTCTTGAAATCAACTTTTTCAACTTAAAAAATTTAAATAAACAAAAAAACCTATATATCAAGATAACTAAAGTAAACATGGAGACAGTGGCATCGTGAAGGCAGCAGTGGAAAAGAGAGATGGAGGAGGAGGTACCTGTACATGGGGACAGTGACGGTGCGTTCGTAGTACTGCCAGGTGGAGTGCAGGTCCGTCCGGGACAGGTTGGTGGCATAAAATCTCCAAGCCGCCTGCGGAGGAGACGCGGTGGGATCACGGACCCAGACATGGCCAGCACTACCCTCAGTTTTATGACCTTCAGCCAACACTGAGTCCTCCCTCTGTTTTCTGTGGGACAGTTCTGACATTCTGCCTCTTCCTTGATTCAACAGGTGGCAAATTTGGGGTGGTACCATGACACTCCTGACCATGTGAGCCCAGCTAAAAATGCTGTGGGAACCAGGCACTCACACTCTGTCAAGGCAAGGTCAGCTATCAAACAGGTGTTGCTGCCCATTAGGGAGTTAAAAAATTTGGAGAGAGAGAAGCAAAGGAATGTAGAACTACTCTAATTTCAAATCTCCAAGACAATACACCAAGGCCAACCTTCTGTGCAGACATCTGTTATCATGAAGAAAATCCTCCTAAATTGTAACTTTATATCAGTATAAACATTCTCTTTGGGGAGGGGAAAAAAAAAAAATAGTAGTTTGGTGAAAACAGACTGTCCTAATGCATTTGTCTTGCTGCACTGGGCTGGATTTCGTTCTTTTTCTCCCCCATATTGCCTACCACATATGCTATTTTTCCCATGGCTGATTTCCTGGCATTTATTCCCAGGCAAGACCAGTCACCAGCTGGTGTCTCACACCTTACACACACGGCCCTGTTTTTCACCTGCCCCTCTCCTCCCCAACTTCTAAAAGTCTATTAGTCTTCTAAAAGTCTTCCCAAAATCAGGATGATGTAATCCCAAGGCTCCGTGGGTGTGATCCTCACCTGAATCAGGCCTGCTGCTGGGTTTCGCCTCTTCTCAAAGTGCTTTTGTCGATGCTGCTCTTGAACCTTCAGAGCAAACCCCGAGCCCAAGATGCCCTGGGGAAGGGAACAAAAATTTGCTGTTAGCAAGGCATCAGTTTCCACTAAAAAAAAAAAAATGCAGCCAGTCTTCCCTCCAAAGGTTTGTTCTCATTTTTCGTTTGAAATGTAGAGGGGAAGGAAGGAGAAGGCGCCATCCAGGCAGCCCTGGCAGACACACTCCCCATGATGGGGCAGCAGTGGGGAGCAGACTTTGCTGGCACTCCCTGGAATTGCTGCTTTACCAAACTCCCTCCAGCCAGCTGATCAAATACAAAATAACCACACCATGCTGGCATTCAGCAAATTATCCCCACAGGGGAAAATCAGATCCATGCAGCAGACAAATGCACTGCAAAAAGGGACAGAGGTAACCTGCTGAAATGGCACAATCACCCCCAGGAACAGCCTTTGGCAGGAAAAAAATGGTTTCACTTCAATAAATATTTGTGCAGTGCCAAAGCTAGAGCTTCCATCCTGTTTGCTCATACACACAGTGTCTGAGCTGTGGATATTCAGACATGGGTCCCCCTTTTCACCCCCCGCCCCTTTTTCTTTTTTTGACTCAAAAGCCACAGAGCAGTCGCAGTCAGGAGGTCTCTGGGTGCATCACGCTGCTGGATGTAGCTGTTGCTCTAGGGGCTGGGGATAAAGCGTGATCAAGCTCAGCACCCCCCTCCCTTGCCAGCAAGACGCTGCAGCCTCCGCTTACGGCAGGAAGGGCGAAGAAGGAGACACCGATGAGCGTGAATGTCGCTGCCAGCAGCCGCCCGTTCCACGTCTGCGGGTACTTGTCCCCGTAGCCGATGGTGGTGAGAGTGATCTGCAGGTAGATGACAGCACAGCCCCTGATCAGCCAGCCTTAAAACCAAACCAGCACAGCCAGAACTCCCCCAGCACCAGAGTGGGACGTGGGGACCGAGTTGAGGTGCCGCTCAGGCACCCAGGAGGATGCCGGCTGCGTGGGATGGGCAGCAGCGATGCCCTGACACGCAGGACAGTGCTGCCACCCTCGCTGCTCGACGTGCTGGGTTTTCACACCAGTCGGGAAGGTTTTCCTGCCTTCAGCTGACACAGAGAGAGCTGCCAGCTGGTGCAGAGGCTTGCGGCAGCTCGCAGCGTCCCCCGGGAGATGGGATTGCGCCTTCAGCAGGGGAGCAAACCAGAACAGTCCCCCCAGCCCTCCTTTTGGCATCTCACGAAAGAAGGCAGGGCTATTTGCATGCATAAAGATCTGATGCTGTTTATTCCTAATCTTCCCAGCAGTGCCTATTAGCCGGTTTCCCTTCCCATTTAAAACCAGCATATTAGCCCAACAGGATGAATTATGGCTGCTTCATACAACCTAATTTAGGGATGTTTTTTCCCCCATCTTCAGTATTATTGCAATGCACCAAGAGTGTGCTGGCAAGCTGCTGTGTGCATTCTGGGGAAGGAGCTGAGAGATTCGTTGGAGACAAAGAATCCCCTGAACTCCAAACTGCAGGAAAAGACATTTTCCCACTTCAGTCCATGGACATCACTAGTGGGAAATGTTGGGTTCCAAGGCTTCCGAGAGGATTTGGGGAGCCTGGGACTGGCAGGGAGAGATGGTCTGATTAGGAAAATCTATGAAATTTTTGCCCAATGGACCCAAAGGTCCCTGAGCCAAGGGGAAAGTTGTCCCACGGACAGAGCTGGGCCCAGGGAGAGGAGCAGACACTGTGCTGGTGTGGCTTCAGAAACCTCACACATTCAACTTCGAATAAAATCTCTTCTACACAAATGGAAGCAGGATCCCAAAGTGCTGTTTAATTGGACCCACTAAAAGCCCTATCAATTAGATGCCATTTGGACAAAGTGGTTAGAAAATGCATCTACATGGCTATTCCTTACTGAAACACAAAGTTGAAGCAATGCTTTCTCCATAATCACTGCAAAGTTGTCTTACACATTTTTTTTTTATAAACAACAAGGATTGGTCCCCTAAGATAAGACCAAGGGACAAGTTTCTGACCCTGAAATTTGATTTATTTTGCCTATTGTTTAACATCTGCCTCTGCTGGACACGTGAGCTGGACAATGGCAAAACGTTTTTATTTTAACGAAGCTCAAATTTTACACTGAGTTTCTCAGTGGCAAACTAGTCTGTGCACCTCCACGTCCTCAAACTGGGGGAGACGATGCTCTGCCAAAGGCCCGCACAGGCAGGAGGCATTGACCCACACATGGTTCTCCCGAGACCGAGCTCTCATCTGGGCTGTCACTTTTTCCTCATTGTTTATGTTCTAGTTATGTCAAATTGGGCTTTGTTTTTATTTTCTGTCATAACCAAAAGGCTTGAAAAGCAATTTACTGCTTCTTTCCCTTTGTTGGAACAGAGGAGCTGCTTGATCAGCCGATTCTTCCCCAAGCCTGTTATTGGGATGTGATCAGATCTGGGATTTTCATTACAAGCTTTGTAATCAAGGTCAAACTAACACCACAGTGTCGGAGCAGAACAATAACACAAGAAGATTAGAACGTCATTAATTCCCTCTTTGTTAATCGGGTAATCCAATAATTCACATGCACACGCGCACACACAGAGCAAACCAAAAGTATTGCCCTCTCCTCCTTTGTCAGCAGAGACGTGAAAAGGGAGGGCTTGCTGCATTCAAGTCCTTCTGGTACTTCGACCCTATTCACTTTATAAAATTTATTCCAGCGTGTTTAACAGCGCATTGCCCGAGGATGATTTTAAATAATTAAAAGGTAGCAATACTTGTCAAAGCGATGATCAAAAAACACTCCCTGGGTCTTTATCTGACCTGCCTCTACTGTCGCGACAGAGCTAAATCCCACGATTGAGAGCACACGAGTTCCCAGTTTCCTCACAGCTCTTGCTAATTCAAGAAATGCGATCCCCTCACATTTTCTATGCGGTTTATTTAAGAAAAGGAGCTAAATGGAGTAGCCTGAAGCCATTTAATAAAAACATTAACTAGGCACTCCATAAGTCAGTTCCTCACGTCAGTGATAGAAGATGGAGGGTTAATGGACATTTTATTTTAATAACAAGCAGCTGTTCTAGGAAAATTACTTACCAGACCCCACCAGAGTGCATCTGCGTATGTATCAAAGTGCTCATTTTCTCCCTTCTCGGCCAAGTATACCAGGAACGAGGCCAGGATGAGGCACAGGAAGCCAATATACCAGGCAGTAATCAGCTCCTGCAAGATCATTAAGGGATAGAAGAGAATAATCGCAATCCTGGTGCACATCTCCAAAAACCGAGCTACTTGCTTGTGGTTGGATCTGAACTTTCCCTGCATTTGTATAGGCTTTGGGATTTCGGTTGGAGGTCAGTGATGCCACTTTTTGAGATGGTACCATGTACTAGTGGTGGCCCTGCACAGCACATGGGGCAATCCCTGTCCTGAAGACCCCAGCATCTAAGCACATACAGGAAATGGAAAAGGAAATAGCTCCATTATTTCAAAATGTGGAACTGAGACTAAAAAACCTAAAAATATTTCCCCCAGATTACACAGGGAAGTGGGATTAAAACTGAAATGGCAACCCCAAATCCCTGGGGACTCTGCTTAGGGCAGATCTCTTCCACTAACTGGGGAGGAGCTACAAAGCTGGGGCCTGAATACAACATTCCCCAGTTTCAGGGAAGTTTTAATTCAGAATTCAAAAGAGTGATTATTTCAGCTAAAGTTAATACAAGGGTTCACAAAAGACACTTATGAATTGCCCATATTTTTTACACAGTTGTGGGTAAGCTGGCTAAGCTTTTCAGGGGAAAAAGTGAAGGAAACAGAAGAAATGTTAAATTAATAAATTCAGCACCAGAAAAATGACCAAACTCTTCCCAAAACAGAGAAAGGCCAAAGTGCCTTACGCCAGGGAGCGGTTCTGTGACTGGTCTGTGATCTCGCATTGGGAAGAGGAACCCAGTATATCGCGTCTGCAAGAGGCTTTGAAGTGTGCATCCTAGATAATGAGCTCGCACCGACACCTCTGCTTAATGAGGCTGCTGGCTAATTGCTAACTCTTTGAAATGAGCTGCGTAATGTGCAGGTGGTCACTATGTTCAAGATATTCCCTGCAAACACTTAAACATCCCTCCTTTCTCTCCTCTACTGCTTGGAATAATGGAAAAGAAAACAAATGATACAACCACTCACCACCCACTGATCAACACCCAGCCAGCCCCCAGGTAGCAAGAGCCAGAGAGCCCAAGAGCCAGACCCAGAGCAAGAAAGACCAAGAGAAACTGAGACTCATGGCCCACTCCCTTTGGGCATTTTATAGGATGAAATGTCCCTTTGGTCAGTTTGGGTCAGCTGTCCTGACTGTGTCCCTTCTCAGCTTCTTCTAGAGAAGCAGTTGGGGACAGAGGTGCAGTATGAGAAGCTGAAAGAGTCCTTCGCTTAATGTAAACATTGCTTGGCAACAACTAAAACCATTAGTATGTTACAAATCTTCTTCTCAGCACAACCAAAACAGCCTCATACTAGCTCCTGTGAGGAAAATCAACTCTATCCCAACTAAAACCTGCTCATGGAGGGAAACACAAAGAGCGAGCCAATGTTGTTGCTTAGGACTTGCTCACCTTACTGTGTGCGTAGACAACAGAGCCCAGGAGCTTCCAGGTGCCGCCCCGCCGGTCCATGCGTATCATGCGCAGGATCTGCAGGAACCTCAAACTCCTGAGCGCCGAGGTGGCAAAGACGTTCCCTTGGGACCCCGCCGCCAGCACAGCGATGGATGCGATCAGCACCATGATGTCTGCACGAACAGAGAGCATTGGAAATGCTGCTGACCCCCTCCCAAGCAGGCTGGCACTCCTACCGCCGCTGGCAACAGAATGCTGTGCGCGAAGGGGAGCTTGCATCAGTTGTATCCTCTGCTGGAAGGACACTGCATAAATCTTAACCTGGACGAAAGGAGCCACTACACACCCCATGGAAATACCCTAGTTTCCTTCTCCCTGCTCATCCTTCCTATAGAAAATGTGTCAAATACTGCAAAGCCTGAATTCTGGTACGATTCAGCATTAACATTTTCAACTGGATGAAATCCTTGCAAAACACATGCCCTTTTTCAATCAGCTGCAGCAGCCTGTTACACAGTGCTGTCCAGAGGTGTGAATTCTCCCATCTAAATTGGGAATGAAAATTTAGGAGGTCCACCCTAGCAATCCTAGAGTGCTCGCAAAGGCAGGCCAAGGAAAGGCCAAGAAAAAACACCTTACGCTATATAGCTCAAAGATCCTGAAAGCATGCCTCTTCCCTGGATTTCTATACAAATTTTGTAGGAGGTTTTTGGGGTTTTTTTCTGCAGAATAAGCTAAAGTCCTGCGTGTGACTATTGCCAGCTCCTGGACATTTGAAAGCAGTCTCCATAGTGAATGGCACGGCCTCTCTGCCCACTCCTTACCCCATTAAAAATAACTGCAGCGCACAGATGGCCCCTTTCACAAGGGGATTGCCGAGTGCTTTACAAACAAGAATTAATTAAGTCTCATAACTCCCTTGTGAGGCAGCTCATCAGCACCAGGGAAGGCGGAGTGAGACAGAGTTGCAGTGACTTGTGATTCGGTGTTGAGGTTGGACACGGGATCCCAGCTCCTACGCTCAGCTTCTCCCAGCTAAACCCTCCTTTCTGTGGCTGTCAGCAATGCCTGGGGTAGGCAGGGCAATGGGACGGCTCCCAGGTCTGCAGAAACCAGAGTGGACCTCATGCAGAATAACAAAACACACATGCGTGGATTAGGATCCATGGTGAGGATCAACCCCCAAAACGCATGCAAGAAACGTGAGCACTGTCATTTGGGTTTGGGAAATCCCGTGCAGGGAGGCAGGTCTTACCGATGACGCAGAAAGGCTTGCGGGCAAATTTTAACCTTCCCCTCCAGCCCCGGTATCGGCAGCAGCAGCCGGCAGCCCAGATCCTCACAAAGTATTCCACCCCAAACACCACGATGGTGACGATTTCCTGGGAGGGAGACAAGGCCGTTAGTCGATAATGGATGGTGATGGAGAGCACGCTCCAGAATCAAACACATAACCTAAACTCTGCACGTCTCAGACTGAGGAGTACGCGTTTGTCTCCCCACCGTAAGCCTCCACAACTTGCCTAGGATAATGCTGAGCAGTTCTGGGAAGACCAGAGGTGAGAATCACCAGCTACTCCATCCTAGGACTTTTCACAGGCAATTTGAGCCTTTTTCCCTCGAAAACTGGACTGGTCGTCTCTGTATGCTGGGCCACCTGACGCAAGGGTGACGGAGATCCTCTATCCCTTAATGCCAAGTGAGCACACGGATGCTGCGTAGCACAGCTCTTTCCATCGCCACCCAAACACCCTGCACACGCTCCCTTCCCTCTGACTTCTTTACCAGCAGCACTTGCCTTAACTTCCCCATGTGTCAAACGTGACCAAGCCCCAATTAGTCTGCAGCACCCTTTGATGCCAAGGTAGGGCAGGCACTGGGGAAGAGGAAGACAGACAAAAGGAAAGGAGACACGCGAAGCCATGGCAGCGCGTGCAGGATCTCTGATGGCAGAAGCCGCACTGTCAGTGCGAGGGGTGCCGGGCTATTTAAGGAACAAAACCGCCGCTTGATGTCGGATCATATAGTTGCAAGGATGTGACAGTGTGGGAGAGGAGACAGGTACACAGGCTGCTCGCTACGCAGCTTTAAACACTGCAGGACATCCAACTGCTTTTCAGCTGGTATCAGTCTTGCTACTGTACTTTGCAATTGGAGAAAAAAGAGTTTAGGAAGAAAGTTTTTAAAGAATCCTTAAAATTACCATTGGTTTATCCCTGGTACAGATTTCTCCTTTTCATACTTCTATTTATTGCCTGCAGGTCACAATGGTCCCCTTCTCACAAGCAATGGTATAGATCCTTACCCCAGTTAAACACTCTGAACCTCAGTTTTCTATCGCATTTAAGTGCTTTAGTACCTCACTGATGGCTTCATTTGCAACCCCTCACTTACCAGGATGTAAAGGGCCCCTTCCGAGCTGTTCTGGTACTCATCAATGGTCGAAAAGACAGACAGCACCAGGCAGGAGAAAACTAGTAGAAAACTATGTAACACAGAAATAAAAAAGGAGAAAGAGAGAGGGAACATCAGTCCTCAGGGCAGGAATTTTGCACCTTTGATCAAACTAGAGCACAGAACTTTTTTGGACATATTTACTGTGCTGCTGCTACAACACTGTGTAAAAAGAGACAGTAAAATCCCTGATTTTAATAACTGAAGGGCTGTGGATGGAAGGACCCACTGGACTGTTCCCAGTTTGGCCAGTGCCAATTCAATTCCTGTCCCAGCAGTTCTGATAAGCCCTGACATTATTTCCCCGAGGATTCATCAGCTTTTATTGCATGACGCTTTCACCAAGCGTGCAAACAAGCAGGGAAATGCTCATTTCTTAATGTGGTGACAGGTGAGCAGGCTGGCTAAGGATGGAGCACAGGCTGAACGCAAACCCAGGGAAAACCACTGATGCTCTGCTTCTGCACCCACAAAAACTTACCGAGGAGTGGGACTGCATTTCCCATCCTTGCCAGGGTAAATTTAATGTTCCTTTTTTAGGCAGGTACTCCAGGTTAACTCTTTACTGCCTGGAAAGGCAGTCAACTTCCCAGATTTGTTGCTGTATCACTAGGAGGTGAATGCTCTTCTGTGGCCAGAGACAGGACACAGCCTGGGTTTGATCCCGTCTGATCTTGGTGCCGTCAGTACCTTAGCATGAAGCCAGAGACAGGCCGCCAACAGGGAGGGAGCTGGGCTGGCCTCTGCCCTTGTCCCACAAGCACACAAAAGAGCCCCATCCTGCCAGGAGCTTGGGGAGACCCAGCTTTGATTGCTCAGCCTCTTATTTGCCACAGAAAATGATAGGGGATCCCCCAACCCCCCTTACAATATGCACCCAAGTCTCATGGTCATCTACTCCTATGGGCTGTCCCAAAAGCAGCCCCAGAAGTGTCACACCACCCTGTCATTCACAGGCTGTCCCCATGAAAACTGCCTGCTCTGTGCTTTTCGTGAATGCTGGATGCACTAATGCAAATCAAAAGGCACAAAGTGAATGACAGGAGCTCGACTCTCTTCAGACACTCAGCGCCCGAGTCGGTGGCTACAGAGGTGTCCTGGCATCTGCTCGCGGACAGGGAAGGTTTCCACCCACCAGCAATGCCCACTGCTTGCTCAAACAAAAGGAGGGAAATTAATTTAGTAAAGATCCATTTACTGATAGGATAAAGTAGGCCAGCGCAGGGAGAAACTAGAAGCTGCATTCTTTAAAAGCATTAAATAATTCATCTGTCTGGCTTTGTCTCACATTCCTACAAACTGCCTATCGAATATTTATAAGGTTTGAGCTGGTAGGTGCTGTTCCTTTTTGTTGTATAAAGGAGTTTCACACCACTGGGTCGTGCTTGTGGCTTTGCAGTGACCATTAATGTCACAGTAACAAGTAAAAATAGGGGGATTTGCCATATTTATTCGAACCACAAGCTGAAACATCCCTGGCTGCTGGAGGTAAGGAACCTTCAGAGTCATCTCAGTGAAGGCTGAGCTTTGTCAGCAACAAGATGAATTCAGCACACAACAGATAAGGACAACAGCCTAATTTCTTGCTGCAAATTTCCTCTTCTCACACCAGGTCTGGTGCAGAGAGACTTGAAACAACCTCAAGAGGGTAAGAAAACATCCCTTGCAATTGCACTCACGATGTCACTTAATGTCTTCTCTAGGTCTCACTTAAAATTTTTTCTCCCCAACCTGGTGTTTTAAAACCTTTGCTATAAACAAGCCAGTGACAACCTGCCCTACAGCCACGTGGACTCCATCCACCCCTACATCCTCCGAGTTGCCTGGGCCAGGCCCTGAGAGCTGGAGACAGGCCTCTGCCCACACTATGGCAGGGGTGCCACGCCTGCCACGGCCCGGATTTTGCTGCAAATTCCTCTGTTAGAGTGAGAAACACATGAATAATCCATGATCAGAGGAAAACAAAAAAGAGATAATGGGAAAAGGATCGAGGGGGAAAGAAAATCCTACATTTTCTGATTAAAGAAGTAAAATGTGGGTTGTATTTTTATGACCAAACGTCACAATAAAATGGCTGAGGTGCTGAAAGCAAAGTGCCCACAACGTTGCAGACCTGAACACCGTGTTGGGGAAGGCGACCACTTCAGACGGATCCAGAAAGAAGCCATGCTCAAATGACAATTCCTGGCAGGGACAAATCCATGAGAGAGAGGATTTCTGTATTGTCACTAGACATGTATTCAAGGGTCATAGAAAATAAAGGAAAAGAAATTGCTTTTGCACTTTGAATCCCAAGGACGCATTGTACACGCAGTGGTTGTGTGGGGGGAGACGGGGCAGCTCTGGGTGCTGCTGCTTCCCTTCCCCAGCACACTGCTGCAGCCTCATCCCTGGCCTCTCCGTTCCCCTCATCTCCCCAGGGCCAGCTCAGTGCTGCTGTAATTTGGGCTCTGCGCTCCCCAGGGCTCCCATTGCCAGGGAGACCTGATGCAGATCACGCTTGCAGGGCCAGTATTAATTACAGTATTGCCAAGCATGGGAAGCAAATGGAGAAGGCACCACCTTCTTCCATAAATCATGGGAGCTCCATGGCCAAATCCCACGTGGACCAAAAACTGTCCTTGTCTCGGTCCCAATGTGGACATTCAGCCACCCGGTAAGGAATGGTCCTACCAGCAAAGGATGCAGGTACTGGCTCATCACCGGGTGAGCTGCACAAGCATCCCAAAATTACTCGATGGTGATGCACATCTCTGCCTGACCCTGTGGCCCACAAACCTCTGAGAGGCTGTAAAAGAAGACTAAGAGAATGAAACCTTTCTGCAAGAAAACTGAATTCAGAAGGTTGGGGTCTGTGCGGCTCCTGGGAGGCTTTGAAGGATCCACAGAGCCCCTAAGGATAGGGGGGGTGGACAAAGAAAGCTGAGAAGTTTGTCCACACTGGAGATGGTATGTATCCTCCAAGCTCCCATGGAGGGAGGGCAGTGGGGAACAGGAAGACTGACTCTGCTTTAATTTCACCTAATCTACCCAGACAGTACAGGAAAGGGCTCCAGAAAATAATGGATAGCTAGAGAAAGGGAAACAGGCCAATAAATAGTGTAGAGGTTGGGATGAATCTAATTTTTAAAGCTACATATCTAATCAAAGCAAATTATGTCTGCAGCCTGACTCTGGGTAATGTTAATGTGCAATAAGGAACGTTAATTATGTCCCGTCTAATGATTTTTACATTAAAGATGCCAATTGTACTTAGAGCTTTGGAGAACACAATACCCTCCTCCTCCCAGGAGCTGGGTCCTACATGATGCATGGCTGGAGCTGGTACCACCCTCTCCCAACCCCAGGCCAGGATGCAAAGGGCGGCGTGTGGTTTTGGACTACTGTCTCCTCCAAAAAGTGATGGCACAGTGGAAGATAGAGAAGGGCATCTCATGTCACTGCATCTTTTCACCCACCACCTTCCAGGATCCCCCCAGCCTGTTGCTTAGACCTTTAAGCTCAGCCAAGACTCAGCTGTACAAATCTGGCTGCTGCTAATACTAATAAATCCAAAGTCCTCCAAAGTCTGGCTTTACATCCAAAGGTTATGATGACTTAAAACACTGATGCAAGCTTCTTATTACAATTTATAAATCCCAGCACAAAATCTGCATATCCAGATTTCATATCCACCATGCTGCATGTTAGCAATGGAAAAAGAAATAACTGAACTCCCCCTTGAAAAAAATCCTTAAAATTACTTGAAACAGGGAAGATTGTCCTTTTTCCCCCCCCTCAGTAAAAGTATATGACAGAATCATGATAAAGCTTTTCAGGTTAATCATCTCATTTGCCTTTGAAAAGGAATCTACACACTCATTTACATAAGAATTTTAAAAGACCTTTAAATTTATTCCTGAAATACTTGCATTCAAACAACCTTCACCGGCATGTAAAAACATTGGGCTTCCTCTGATGGAGCACCAGTAACTAGCAACTGCATTCCTGGATTCGATGGAGAAGGGTATGAGGAGGTGGCACAAGCTTGTAACAAGGCACTGTGCTTGTTCCATGCTCTGCTGGCTTTCCATGGAATTGGGAAAGGTAATTAATGATTTGTTTAATTAAAAAAAGCAAAGCAGGAAAGGAAGGAGCATTTTACTACAGGCATTTAAGAGCTGCACAATGGAAAATAACTTTAAACATTTAAAACACTTAAAATGACTTTGGGGATGTAAACAAGGCATTGATAATTGTGCTAAAATAAATCTACAATGCTTAGGGACAATCCCTCTGTATTCCCAGCAATCCATCGGCTGTGGTCTCTGTACAATGCTGCTTTTCCAGTATCTGAAACCTCCCTGTAAATCAAAAGGCCATGAAAATGCAGCAATGACAATAAACCAAGGTGAAAGTTACTCATTGTATGGATGTTCTGAGATTGTCAAATGCCCTTTAACACTCAGAGAGCCTCATCATCAGAACGGGACTAGTTACAGCTCGGTTTACATCTCCAGTGTATCAATCAGAAGCAAAACTCTTACAATGCCATGACTTTCCAGGGGTAAAAACATCCTATTGCACCTACCCTTAGCCAGAAGCATCCATCATCTTTATTCATGGAAGCAATCCTGCTGCGATTTGCAACCCAGCTACTCATTTACAAGGCTAAACATGAGCCTCGCTCGTGTTTCCATATCCCTTGGTCTCAGCCAAAATCATCTCCCAGGGCGACTTCTGTCACTGGCAGGGCTGGAAATAGAAGCAGGGAGTCCTGCCTTTCAGTCCTGTGCCTTAATAAATGCTCTCCTTTCCAAATATAGCTCCGGAGGGTGTTTCATTCCTCACAGGTTCAGCCATGCCCAGCTGTGATCCTGCTCCTCGGAGAAGCCTGGAGCCTTCCCGGGCACCCATGCGGGTAGAAAACATTGTTTATGGGCAACACACCGGCTGGCTCCAAGGCAGGGATCCTCACGGTTTATAAACTTTTTAATAAATCTTTAGCACAGGCTGCTCAGGGACAACGTTAGCAGCTCCTGTGCCTTCTGG